CCACCGACAACTAAAAAAGATATTTAAAAAAAAAAAAAAAAAGGACTGAGGATGTAGCTCAATGTTAAAGTGCTCCTGGGCTCAATCTTCAGTACCAAAAAGATAAATGAATAAATAAATAAAGTGGTGACATATACCTGTAATCCCAGGACTTGAGACGCTAAGGCAGGAGGACTGTTTGAGTCCAATAGCCTGAACAACACAAAGTGGTACTTTTTCAAAAAATAAAAATAAATAAATAAAAAGTAAAAAGATCTGCTCTCTAAACGTCACAGATGCAAAAATGAAAAGGTAAAATACAGGCTAGAGAAAATATTCACAGGACACATATCTGTTGAAAGGCTTGAATATAGAATATATAAATAGATCCTTTATTTATTCATTCTTTCATTTTTGGCAGTCCTGGGGATTGACCCCAGGTGATATAGCTTCCCCACTGAGCTGCACTCCTAGATCTTTTTATTTTATTTTGAGACACTAAGTTGTCCAGGCTGGCCTCTAGTTTGTTATCCTCATAAGTTCATAGGAGAAAAAAAAATAAATGGCTGATAAGAACATGAAAAAATGCTCAATATTTTAGTTCTCAGGAAAATGCAATTAAAATCTTAACCAGATAACACTCAAACACCTAGAAAAGCTGAAGTTGAAAAAGACCAAGTATTGCCAGGCACAGCAGTGTTGGCCTATAATCTCAGCGGAGGGTGAGGCAGGAAGATCATAAGTTCAAAGTCAGCTTTACCAATTTAGCAAAACCCTAAGCAATTTAGTGAGACCCTGTCTCCAAATAAAAAATAAAAGGGCTGGAGATGTGGCTCGGTGGTAAAATGCCTCTTGGGTCCATCCCCAGTACCCAAAAAAAAAAAAAAAAAGACCAAGTATGAGGATGTGGAATAGGAATGCTCACACTTTACTGGTGGAAGTATAAAATGGCACAACTTTCTAGAAGTTTGGCTATTCCCTAGTAAGTTAAGCATATTTTCTATATGGCCTAGCAATTCCATTCTTAGATGTTTACCCAAGGGGAAATAAAAATATGTTCATTCAAAGATCGTATACAAACTTTCTTAGCAACTTTATACATAATAGTGAAAGTTTGGCAACAATCCAAATGTCCATAACAGGTGAAAAGATACACAATTTACTTTATAATAGTACCAAGGGATTCTATACAGCAATAAACATTAAGGCATGCAATAGCATGTACGAACTAACTAAAAGCAATCTGGTAACAGAAGGCAGATCACTAGTTTCCTGAGAATAGGTGGAAGTAGAGAGAGTTAACTAAGAGGGGCACAAGGAAATTTTTGGGTGATAGATGTTCTTTTTTCCTTTTTTTTGGGGGGGGGTCCTGGTGATTGAACTCAGGGCACTTAACCACTGGGCCACATCTCCCAACACCTTTTCATTTATTTATTTATTTATCTATTTTTGTGGTGCTGGAGATTGAACCAGGACCTTGTGCACTCTACTAATTGAGCTATATCCCCAGCACCACATTTTATTTTTTAGTTTTATTTTATTTATTTATTTTTGTGGTGCTGGGGATTGAACCCAGGGCCTTGTGCATGAGAGGCAAGCCCTCTACCAACTGAGCTATATCCCCAGCCCCTTTATTTTTTACTTTAAGACAGTGCCTCACTAAGTTGCTGAGGCAGATTTCAAGCTTGTAATCCTGCCTCAGTCTCCCAAGTTGCTGGGATTACAGATTCGTATCTTAATTGTACTGGTGGTTACACAGGTACACACATTCAGTACCTCCCATGGGACTGTACACTTAAAATGGTGCACTCTATTGATTATAGATTTTGCATCCATAAGGTTATTTGTCCCAAATTATTTGGGATACATGAACAAATACAATGTGGAGACATTGTTTAGAGCTATGTATGGATGTATATACGGATATCATAAAAATTTGAATACTGATTGGGTATTTGCTGATTTTTTAAAATCTCTGATCATTATTTTGTGATTAAATTAACAGGGAAAGAGGTGTTTCTCTTTTGGAGAAATATTTGTGGATGAAGTGACATAACATGGGATTTATTTTCTAAGAATTTAAAGTATGGGGCAGTGGTGGAGGTTTAGACGAAACAAATTTGGCCAAATATGGATAATTATTGAAGTTGGGTTATAGTTATATTGGGGTTTATTATACTGTATTGTTATTATAACTTTATTATTATAATAATGATTTATTGTTACAATTATTTTATAATTATGTCTGCTTTTGTAAATGTTGGAAATAGTACATAATTTAAAAAATCATAAAGAACTTAAGAATTCAACCAAATTCAATGTGTCATCCAACTAAACTGAACAAACCCACAATAGAAAGACATTTGCAGGACCCAACCTAGTGGCACATGCTTATAATCCAGGCAACTCAGGAGGCCAGGGCAGGAGGATCACAAGTTTGAGGCTAGTCTGGGAAATTTAGCAAAATTTTGTCTAAAAATAGCTTTTAAAAAAGGGTTGGGGCTGGGGATATATCTCAGTTGGTAGAATGCTTGCCTTGCATGCACAAGGCCCTGGGTTCAATCCCCAGTACCATGAAAAAAAAAAAAAAAAAAAGGGTTGGAGATATATCTCAGTGGTAAAGTGCTCCTGGATTCAATCTCCAGTTCAAAAAAATCTTGAATAATGTTTAGACACAAAGACATTCAGAGAAGTGTCAATGAACTGGAAATTTCTATTGGATATAAGTGCTACATTGTTCAAATATAACTTTAATAATAATTTTCAATATTAACATGTAAGAGTAATATATAGGAGCAGGAATGGTTACAGAATAATTTGAACAAGTAACTTGTATAATTAAGGACAGAAATTTTGCTGATGGATATATTATGAAGGAGGAGGAGAAAAGGAAGAAGTAGTTAGAAAGAATGTCTATACTGGATTTGCATTAAGTGTTACCTACCTTACTGACTGAAGCCTGGGAGAATCAAGCAAGGATATCCCATGGAGGTCACAGTAGGCAGTAGCATAGTCCATTAGTCCTTCTGTCTCAACCATGCCTAGCTGCTTAAACTTGTTAACCTTTTAACCTTTTTTTTTTTTTTTTTGTACCAGGAATTGGCTCCAGGAGTACTTAACCATTGAGCCAATTCCCCAGCCTTTTTTTTTTGTATTTTATTTATAGACAGGATCTTGCTAAATTGCTTAGGGTCTTGGTACATTACTGAGGCTGGCTTTGAACTCTCAATCCTCCCGCCTCAGCCTCCCAAACTGCTGGGATTACATGTACATGCGCTACCACACCCAGCTCTAGTTAACATTTTAAGTCTTTTTGTTACACAAGTCTATAGTTGTAGGAATGAGGAAGAGAGGGAAGATGATGCTGGAGTGAGTTTGGATCAAGTTGTGCAGGGCCTTAAGTTTCTCTCTTTTTAAATACGACTGCATTCTCATTATAGGTTATCTCTAACCTGCAATGTTTCAATTTAAGATTTTTCAAACTTATCATGGTGCAGAAGCCATTTGTACTCATTAGAAACCTTACTTCAGGCACTCCTACAACTATGTTTTTCAGTTTCAGTACAGTATTTAATAAATCACATGAGATATCCAACACTTTATTATAAAATTGTCTGTGTTAGATGATTTTACCCAACTGCAGGCTAATGTGTTTTGAAGACATTTATTGTAGGTTGGGCCAAGGTATGATGTTTGATGGGTGAGGGGAATTAACTGCATTTCAGTTATGATATTTTCAACTTATGATGGGTTTATTGGGATGCAACCTCATCATGCATCAAGGAGCATCTGTATGAGATTGAAATCTATAGCCCAGTAATAGTAAGCAAGAGCTTTGCCCTGACAGAGCTTTACTTTCACTCCTCACCACCTAAGGGAACCACTACCCACAACTTGGGGCATATATTTCCATTTTTTCAGTTCGTAATTCATAGTTGACCTTCGAGTCTCAAATCAGAAGAAAACAGTCCAAATCCCTCAGTGGTTCTCTGGGTTGCCCAGTACCTTGTGTTTAGCTATTTGCCATTTGTTGGTCTCATTAGATTGTAATCTCCACATGGCCAAAGCTGAGTTACTAAATATTGTCCTGGTGCTTGGTCATCTCTGGCAGGGAGGAGACTGGGTGTTAACTGAGGGTAGCTGGAGGAAGGTGTCAGGTCGCCTAGATAAAATGCAGGCCTTTCTCAGCCGGTTCATATCTAAATGCAATGAAGGCGCCCAGGTAGGTCACACAAACTGATAGTAGGAGCTGAAGACCCCTCAAATGAGAAATGCCCAAGCAATGCACTAAAGCAATGTGGCCAAGTTGGAGTTGCATGAAAAGATGCATGGAAGCCTTTCCCAGGCTTATTTCCCTCCTCTACAGAGAAGGGCCATTTAATAGAGTTCATAACATTGGCGCCGTTTTGGTTGAAGTCACTTGCGAGGGCCGTGGAGGTCCGGCAGGTGCGGTGTTGCACGCCCGTAATTCCACCCCCCACCCCCCCGCTTGCAGCAAACCGGAGGATCGCAAATTCGAGATTTCAGTAATTTAGCGAGACCCTCTCTACGCAAACTAGCAAAATAAAATAAATAGGGCTGGGGATGTAGCTCAGTGCTTGCCTAGCCTGCACCAGACCCTGCGTTCAATCCCTGGCGCTGCAAAAACAAACACACAAACTTTTGCAGAATTAATTATTAGTAACGTCAGCTCCGATTCCACCTTCTTGGAGGCCCGGACTCTCCTCCTGTCTCGGCAGTGTGCGCTGTTTGGCCGCTTTGTCCACTCGACTTGGCCCGGAGACCGGCAGGATCTGTTTTGATCCTGGTGTCCTGGAAATGAGCGGAGGCAGCCCGACCGCGCTGTCGGTCCCGGCAGTCGCGCCCCTCAGGCCGCGCGCTGTGCTGCTGCCGCCCTCCTGTGGCAGCTGCAAGGCGGTCTCCCCGTCGTCCTGCGGGCACCCTCCCTCGGCCGGTGACATCACCGCATTCCCGTTCCCAGCTCCTCCCGCCGCGGCGCCTGCAGCGGCAGTGACAGGCGAGCCCCGCCCGGTGGCGGAGAGGAAGTGCGGGGCCGCCGCGCCGAGCCCGTCTCCGCGCAGGCCGGCTCCCCCGGGCGGCTGGGTGACAGTGTTGCGGCCGCCGGGCACAGCGCGGGGCAAGCGCCGGGCAGCCGAGAGCCAGGCGGAGGCTTCAGCAGAGACGCGGGGAAAATGGCTGATGACTTTGGCTTCTTCTCGTCGTCAGAGAGCGGGGTCCCTGAGGCGACTGAGGAGGACCCAGCGGCTGCCTTCCTGGCCCAGCAGGAGAGCGAGATCGCAGGCATAGAGAATGACGAGGGCTTCGGGGCACCTGCCGGCAGTCAGGTGGCCTGTGCGCAGCCGAGACCCGCGAGTGGGGGTGAGTCAGCGCAGTGGCCTGGGAGCTGGGGGCCTTGAACCTGTCACCCGGGGACGGTGGTCCAGGCCCTTCACAAACCCGGCCAAGGAGTCTTGGGGAGAGTGGCGAGGATCTGGATAGGCCAGCCAGGAGCAGGCCGGGGGCTGTGCGTTTGCGAGCAGAGGGCCTGGGGGAACTAGGGAGCAATCTTGGAGATTCACCTCTAGGATCTCTGAGCTGGGGGATGAGAGGAGGCCTCTCCTGGGACTGTGATCTGCTGACTCTGGGGACAGGAATTCGGTCATGACATTTTATTCCAAGGCCAACTTCACCACTGCCTGGCTCTGAAATTCATTGCCTGCCCAGTTCTAAGAGTCCCTCTTGAGTCCTCTAATAGCCTGAGTGATCTAGGCTCCCAGTTAAGTGGTGCAGGTGTGGGCAGAATGCAGACCTGCTGTTCCCTAGCCTTAGCTTTCACACAGCTGGCAAAACAGGGAATAATGGGGGCTCCAAGAAATCACAAATCTTCCCTGGGGACCACACATCTTCCCTTGGCCACTTAGCTAGGCATGTTAATTACATTTAAGAATTCCATACATATTATTGAACCCATTTCAAAGCCAGCAAAACTAAGGCTCTAAAGGTACACTATTAGCTGAGTACAGTCACATACACCTGTCATCCCAGTTGCTGAGACAGGAGAATCATTAAGTTCAAGGCAAGCCTAGGCAATTTAGCAAGACCCTGCCTCAAAATAAAAAATAAAAAGCCTAGGGATATATACCTCAGTGGTTCATTCCCCAGTAACAACAACAACAACAACAAAAAAAAAAAAAAAAAAAAAAGAAGAGAAACAAAGCTATTGAAACAACTAGTAAGGGTGAATCAAGGACTAAACCCATTTCTGTCAGACGCTAAACCCCTCCCTCTGACCACACTGTCTTCCATGTGCCTGGCTCTGCAAAAAACTCTGAGGTTGGGCCAGGGGCACAAAGGAGCATCAGTCAGAAGGGTTCCTGCCCCTCAGGGGTTTCTGTCCACCTAATGATTTTCCAAAGGTGGTCCAGGGCTATTGTACTTGGCTTCAGAACTCAGGATTCATAGCCTGGTCCCTGCGATATCATATTTATCAACAATGTTCCTACTCTAATTCTGGACCCCCCAAAAAACCAATTTCTTAAAATATTTAGTAAAAAAGTAGATATCACCTACACGAGTACATCCCATACAGATTTTGCTTCCTATTATTGTCATTTTGGAGATATTTATTTATTTACAAAGCTATTGAACAGTCATTTTTGTTTTCATTCAACATGGGTTGAGTACCTACTTAATATGCCAAGCCCCACTGGGGATACAGAAATGAGTAAGACAGTTCCTGTGGCTGAGTAGTTGAAGCAACTCTGTATCCGCTTGATATGAGAAATATAACAAGCTTTTTGTAACATACAAGAAACTGGAAGCAGCCAGACAGGGTCTTACCAGACTGTAATCCTAGCTACTAGGGAGGCTGAGGCAGGAGGAGGTTAGGTATATATATATATATATATATATATATATATATATATATATATATATATATATATATACAGGGTTAGGTATATAACTCAGTGGCAGAGTGCTTACCCAACATATATGAGGCCCTCGGTTCAATCCCCAACATGGGTAGAGGGTAAAGAAGAAAGAGAAACTGGAGGCTCAGAGAGTCTGAGAATCTTGCCCAGTCACACAGCATGAGTGATAGATCTGGGATTTGATTCCAGGCCTCCCAGCTCTGAGTTTCTGTTCTTTTTTGTTTCATGTTCTTTCAAATGCTGTGGGAAGCCTTTGGATGTGGGGGAGGAGGCAGGTGTCTTTTGCTACCCAAGCACAGCCAGCAGTAGAGGTCTTCTGAAGCAGTGGCTCCTAGCCCCTCAGCATGGACCCTACCCTGTCCCAGGGAATTCCTCAGAAATGTCTGCCCAAGTTCATGCAATGGTATTCATTTGTTCATACTTCCTCCTTGAGACCAGCCCATTCCCTAATGTAGCCTGATTGGTTCCAAGAGGCCTCATGTTATCAGAACCCCATGAGAGAAAAGGGCAGGTAGAATTTCAGCTGAGGGTCATCAGAAGGGACTAGAAGTTGTGGCTTGTTCCAGATGGGACTCCTGGGTTTTTAGCCTGGATGGAGGGTTCCCTCTCTGACATGGTGGGGCCACAGATTGGCCTCAGACCAGAGATGACAGGGAGAGAAACAGCAACGTGCTCTCCTCTTCCAGGAGAGCACTGGACGCTGCCAAGGACACAGCCCTCTGAGCATCTCCCAAACTCAAACCTGCTGAGGCTACAAATGCTCAGCTGCCCACTTGAGTGGTGATCTGGGGAGCAAGGAGGTGTTGCCTGATGGTGGCTCAGTGGGTGGCCAGACATAAATAGAACTGATCTGACCCTTCTAAGACAAGGCAGCAGTGAACAGGCCATCTTCCCCTGATTAGCGATGGAGGGGGTTGAGAAAATGGGCCTTGTCCTGTTGAGAATTGGGCAGAAGCTGGCTCCAGCCACCAACCAGTAGTCACCCTCTCTTAAATGACGGATCCTCTGATTAGCAGTCCCTATGCTGAGTGTCCTGATGTTGTGCTCCCAGAGGCCCCTGGGGAACAAGGGGAAAGAGGTGTCTGGTGTAGGGCTGAGCCTGAGCCACAGGATTTTCTCCCCGGGCTGGATCTGTGACCAGCCTGAGTGATAGACACTTTGTTTCCATTCCTCAGCCTTGGGCAGGGCCCAGAGGTTTACATTTTCACACCCAGTTTTCTGGGCGGCAGGCCTGGCTGTGACTTGCCCATCAGTTCTGGGCAAGCCCATTTCCCCTTCTGGGCCTCAGTAAGCTCACAGGAATGTTCTGGACCCTCTCTAAACTTGTTCCAAAATGGGCCAGGCATCTGAGGGAAGTCACACACCCAGGAGTTTATCCTTGGGACTTGGATATGCCTTACTCCTGTTATGCTGGGCTCTGATTGCAGACCCATGATAATAAATGTGCAATAATCAGAGAGCATTATGGGAATAGATACTGGCAATGCTCTGTGTGGGTGGGTGTGGATTCTCAAAGAGGCTGAAACCACATCTCCAGAGGGACACTCACAAGACTGAGAGCCTGGGGCAGAGACAATTTCCAGAGGCCAAGGTGGGTACCAGGCAGCTACCTGCAGATGAAAGATCTAAATGAGCTGGTCAGGGTGGAGGATGGTGGTGCAACTTTTCCAAAAAGCTGTTAAGTACAGACCTGCATCATCGTGAATGGACCCTGGCAATGTTGGGCCCTGGTAGAGGAGGCGCCCCGGGAGAAGCATCTTTGCAGAAGATGCTGCCTCTGAAACTTCATTGGTCTCATGCTGATTTGCAGGAGAAATCCTATCTGAATATGTGGCAGTGACAGCTGACTCATAGGTCAGGTCAAAATCAATCACTGCTTGATTCAGTAAAGTCAGTTATAATTCATATCAACCCAGGATTATGGCCATGGGCTTAAGTATCTCAGTCCTTAGGCTGAAAGCACGATTGCTTCTGCTCACAGCCCTATCTGGTATACAGGGTTATTTGTCCATCTGTAGTAACCTCCTGTACCCTCGTATGGCACTTTGCTAGGAAGTATTGCAGTTTCTGAGAGGCCTTGCACATTATAGTAGATCGCCAAAGAGCAATTCAATTTTCATTTAGCCAGTAGTTGTTGCTTGCCTATTTTAATCAGGAGTCCTTAGGAGCTGATAGGCTACAATCTGGAAAGGGAGTACCCAGATTCAGGGGGTAACAAGTAATTGCACAACAGAGTGGGGGATGCTATGCAATATTCTGGCATACCCTAGAGGTAAGATCTTTCTCTCAGTGCGGAGGGAAGCAAGGTAGCAGGCAAGGGCTTCCTGGAAGAGGTGACTTGTAAACTGGACTTTGGAGAAGGAATGGATCTAAACAAAGGGTTCTTTAGGAAGTGAGTCAGGATAAAAGGGCAGAGCCAGATTATAAAGCTCCTCATGAACTGTATTCCAGGGTTAAATGTATTTATTTACCAATTATTTATTGAATCCCTGTTGTGCACTGTTCCAGGTATTGGGCCCCATTGAGGATAAAACAAAGTCCCTGTCCTCATGAAGGGTCCTTTCAAGTGGCAGAGACAGAAAATAAACACATATACGAGTGAACTTATCAGGCTATATTTGCTCTAAAGCAAATACCACTGGAGAAGTTGGTGCCTGAGGGCAGAATGAGATGTGATCAGGGAAGCCATGTGTTAAGGCCACTTTTGAGCAGAGACAGGGGAGTGAGGGAGGAGCCCATGTGGAATATGTAGGAAAGGCTTCTAGGCAAAAGGAACAGCACCTGCAAAGTCCCCAAAGCAGGAGCAGATTCTTTAGGCCCCTGTGGTCCAGGGGAAGTGGATTTCTTTTTGGTTTACTCCCATTATCTTTTAATCAGAGGAGGGACATAAACAAGTCTATGTTTTTCAAAATATCCACCTGGCAATGAGTTTGAAAGAGGGATGGGAGAGGGTAAAGCTGGAGTTAGGGAAGCCAGTGAATGAGCAAAAGCCACACATTCATTCTGTCTTTTAAAAAGAAGGGGGAAAAGAAAAAAAAAAAGAGAGAGAGAGAGGAGATGTAACTCAGATGTAACTCAGCTGTAAAGCACTTGCCTAGCATGCTCAAGTTCCTAAGTTCAATACCCAGCACTGAAAACAAACAAAAAAAGTAATTCATTTATTTATTCAACAACCAATTATTGACTCTTTCAAAGGTGCAAATCCCATGTGTGGCTCTGGGGAAGACGATGGTAAGGAGAGAAAGAGACAGTTATACTTTACCAGGTGTTTGCCACTAGCAGGGCAGACAGACCAAACCAGATGGGCAGGAGGGAGATGGTGAAGTCCCTGGCTGAGGCTGGGCATCAGGGAATCAGTGGGAACACAAATTTGAGGGTCACTGTTCCAGCAAAAGCTGCAGGAATTTGTGACTAATTGGATGTCACAAAAGGACTGGGAGGGGTCACTGCAGAAGGCAAAATAAAATTCTTCTGGAAGAGGCGTAGAGAGAAAAAACAGGCCAGGTGCTGCGCAGTAGGGACTGTGATTCCTGCTCTTCCAGGTAGAGCAGTTCCTCAAGGTTCCCCAGGACAGGCGGAGGAGTAGCTTCCTCTCTTCCTTGCCCCTGGTAGCTCCCACCCTAAGGTGCTCCTCTCAGCGCCCAAAAGCAGGCATGGGCTCCACACCCAATCAGACCATTGCCACATGACTGTTGGTCAAGTAACTCCAGGTGGGTGAGGAGGCATTATTGTCTGGGTGATATTGGCTAATCATGTAGCTTCTCTGAGCCTGTGCTTGAGAATCTGTAAAATGGATGGTTAACCACTTCATTATAGGGTGAGGTGAGGGATTGAGTCATAGTTATTTGGGTATCTATTATGTTTACCTGTGTGGGGTCAACATATAGAGAGATTGGCTCCCAGTGCTAAGGTGGAGCCATTGTATGCTTGCTCTAAGCTGAACAATGAGTGATACTGTCTGCTTGTTCTCTTTCTAGCTGGTTCTGAAGACATGGGGACTACTGTTAATGGAGACGTGTTTCAGGTAAGCAAGATTCTGTCTTGCAGTGGGGACTGATAGCCCAGGGCCCAGTGACTCATGACACCATCATTGGTAGGCTCCTTGTTCTGTTCATTATGTCTGATTCATTGGATTGGGAATGTAGAGAAAGGTTTTGAAATGTTTTCTTGTTATGAAGTGAGAGGGGGTAAAGAATAAGGACCTGTAGAGACAGTGATTGATGAGGATTAGCCTTGGGTTGACCATGATGATATTCAGCTTCAGGAGGGAGAGAAAAAGTGGCCCACAGTTGCATGTAATGAAGGGAGTACAGGACCCTGCCTCAGTACATTCCACTGGGGGGAGGCAGAACTGAGTGGCCATCACCCACACATGTAAGCATTTTAACTAGGCAGATCCTTTGAACCAGAGATTCCACTTCTTGGAATCTTTCCTAAGCAAATAATTGGAGAAAGACACCCAGATTCTTGTGTTTTGTTTATTTGTTGTTTCTACATTCCAAATCTTTGCAGGATTGTTTTATAATGGCAGACAAACTGGAAACAACCTCAGTGCGCATCATCAGGGGCTTAGATACAGAGATTGAAAGGCCAACCATTGTTACAAAGGGCAATCAGAATTTCTCATATTGTGGACATACAAAGATACCCTTGATATATAACTGAAAAAAAGTAGCTTGTAGAATATTATGCACAGTATAGTCCTGTTTTTTATTTTAAAATGTTCAAGCCAAATATCCGAAAGGATGTGTACCAATTATTAACAATGGTTGGCCCTGAGAATAGGATTGGGCGTTCGGGTAAGGGGCCTGGGACCCAAGGGAGTAAGAAAAGGGCACTCATTTTCACTGTATTTAAAAAACAAAAAATCTTTTGCTGGGCGCCTTGCCGCCTATAATCCCAGCAGCTCTGGAGGCAGAGATAGGAGGATCACAAGTTCAAAGCCAGCCTCAGCAACAGCAACAAGGCGCTAAGCAACTCAGTGAGACCCTGTCTCTAAATAAAATACAAAATAGGGCTGGGGATGTGGCAGTGGTCAAGTGCCCTTGAATTCAGTCCCCAGTATCCCCTCCCCCCAAGCAATTTTTTTTTTTTTCAGTGATCCTATACCACAAAAAGGGAGGGGAAATCTGTAAAGAGATTTTTAGGGACTGGGAATGTAGCTCAATGGTAAAACATTTGCCTAGCATGTGTGAGGTCCTAGGTTCCATCCCCAACCTTGCAAAACAAACAACAAAATGAGATTGCTTCTCCCTGCATCCTCCTAAATCCCTCCCCTCACATACCCACAAATCGGTTTAGGAGAATTTAGACTGAACGCAGGAGGATTACAAATTTGAGGCCAGCCTGGACAATTTAGCAAGACTCTGTCTCAAAAAAAGGCTGGGGGTGTAATACAATGTAAAGTGTCCCAGGACCACAAAATGAGAGAGAGAGAGAGAGAGAGAGAGAGAGAGAGAGAGAGAGAGAGAGAGAGAGAGAGAGAATACTTACTCTGATAGGACCCACAGTACAGTGGCATTCCTAGAACCCCACAGATGCACAGTCCTTACCCTGCAACCCCTCCGCCTCATGCCTGGCTGGGGCTATGCCTCCACTGAATGTGCCTTAATTCTCACGCACATTGGGTCAAAGCCCCTTGATCCCTGTGGCTGCCACTGAGCCGAGACTCCTGAGCCCCGCCCCGTGGAGGAGCTGGCCTCCTGAATCCTCTGGGAGAACAAACAATACTTTCTTATGTAAGTGGGATGGGCTGGTACCTTACACAGGGAAACTAGCCAAGTTCTGTTTCTGGAAAATTACTCAACTCTCAGCAAGCTAGAAAAGTCAGTCTCTAGGTCTTTAGCAGCTTCATGTCCAGTTGAGGCTGACAGAGCAAACAATGACCATTTCCTCCCTCAGTTTGTTAGATCTTTGAGACTTAGATCATCAGCCTCTAGGCACACTTAAAAGGACTTTGAAGTAGTCCTGGACCTGGAGATAAGCTGAAAAGTACCTAGAATACTATGAGCAGCTAGAATACTATGAGCAGGGTAATTTTAGTTTTCAATCAATTAGGAACTTGAGGCTCAGAGAGGTGAAGTGACTTCTGCAAAATCACACAGGAAATCAGCCAATTTTGGAGTTTTCCTCATTTGGTTGATTTAGCTCCCCTGCTTTCTCCCTCCCCAGTCCTACTTTGCAAGTTTTGGTGGATCTGAGGAACCCTGGGGCTCCTTCCCAATCTCATGATAGTTATTCTCACTGCTAGTAATAATGACCTCAGGCATGTTGATCTGTAAATCATTTCACATCGGTGCAATCCTAGAATCCTTTCAGGCAGGGGAGGGTCCCAGGTGAGATGAGTCACAGAAACTTAGTGACAAAATTCCAACTTGCTTCAACTCACCTACTTTTTTTTTTTTTTTTTTTGGTATTGGAGATTGAACCCAGGGGTGCTTTGCCACTGAGCTATAGCTCCAGGTCTTTTTATTTATTTACTCATTTATTATTATTATTATTATTATTATTACTACTACTACTACTACTACTACCACCAGGGATTAAACTCAGGGGTGCTCTACCACTGAGCCACATTTCAGCCCTATTTTGTGTTTTATTTAGAGACAGAGTCTCACTGATCTGCTTAGCGCTTGGCTCTCTTGCTGAGGCTGGCTTTGAACTCACGATTCTTCCTTCTCAGTCTCCAGAACTGCTGGGATTACAGGTGTGCGCCACTGCACCTGGCTCTTTTTATTTTTTATTTTGAGACGGGGTCTTGCTAAGTTGCTGTGAGGTCTCACAACTTGAATTTGTGATCCTTTTGCCTCATACTCTCAAATTGCTGGGATTACAGTATGCACCACCATGCCCTGTTCACATACATCTTCTGATCCTTGATTGATACACTTTGTACTCTACTACCCCTCTGTTCCTGGAACTGGCCAGTCACAGTCACTAGGTTACAAGTGGTAAGCCCCGGAAAACTCTTTAGGACTGAAAATATCAGTATCTGGTCTGCCCTTTCAGAGGACATGCCCGGGCCTGTGTATCTTTAAAAAGCATTTAAGAGTCTTGGGTAGCTGGATGTAATGGTGCATGTCTGTGATACCAGCTACTTGGTAGGCTGAGGCAGGAGGATAACAAGTTTAAGGCCAGCCTCAGCAACTTAGTGAGACCCTGTCTCAAAATAAAAAGAACTGGGGATGTAATTCAGAGGGGGAAAAAAAAAGTTCTATCAGCCTCCTAGAGTTGCTGGAATCACAAACTTGCACCATAGTACCCAGTCTGGGCAGAGATTTTGTGCTTTAATCTTTTGTGGTCTAGGGATAAGCATGCTTACACCTATTTCAGTTTCATTTGGCGTCACTAGGAATAGGTACAAGGACAGAAAGTGCCTGCAGGACTCTCCCCCTTTCCACTGCAAAAATTCTCTCTCCATTTCTCTACCACACATTACCTTTATCCTCCTTTGAGCTCTTTAGAGGAATCAGCAGCTCAGTTTAGCTTAACTTTAGCTGGTCAGGATTCTTTTTTTTTTTTTTTTTTTTTTTTTTAACCAGGGATTGAACCCAAGGGCACTTATCCACTGAGCCACATCCCCAGTCCTTTTTATTTTGAGACAGGTTCTAGCTAATTTGCTTAGGGTCTCATTAAATTGCTGAAGCTGGCTTTGAATTTGCAGTTCTCCTGTCTCAGCCTCCCAAACTGCTGGGATTAAAGGCTTGTGCCACTACACCTGGCTTATCTTGTCAGTTATTTTTGTAGGGTTTTTTTGTTTGCTTGTTTTGTTTTGTTTTTGTATCAGGGATTGAACTCAGGGGCACTCAATCACTGAGCCACATGCCCAGCCCTATTTTGTATTTTATTTAGAGACAGGGTCTCACTGAGTTGCTTAGAGCCTTGCCGCTGTTACTGAGGTTGGCTTTGAACTTGTGATCCTCCTGTCTCAGCCTCCAGAGCCGCTGGGATTACAGGCATGTACCACTGTGCCCGGTTTAGCTTGTCAGTTCTGAAGATGGATATGCCTTATCCTCCAGTCCTTCCCTGGAGTCACAGCATACACTTGACCACCATGGTCCACAGAGGCTCTCAAGGCAGTGCCCAGCAAAGGAATCCCTCAGGAGAGGGGTGCCAAGAAGCTGGGCTCAGACAACGTGGTCCTGACTGTTGCCTTCTGGTCCTAATCATCCCTGACTCCTTTCTTCTCTGGGACTTTGGAGGGGCTCAGAGTCTTTCTGTAGTCACTAGTGACCGATGAGCTGACAAGCTTCTTGGCAATGACCTTATTATTTCCCACCTGGGGTGCTCAAATGATTACGGAAAAGTCCAGTTGTGGCCCCAAAACTCACTGGTAAGGGGAAAGGCAGGGAAATGAATCCAGAGCAGCCCAGAAAATAAGAACTGGGAAACTGCCTCTCAGGACTCTGTGCTCTTCCTGATCATGGTGCAATGAGGACTAGCATGTGTGGAGACCTTGTCACATTGCAATGATGGACCACAATAACTATGTGATCCTTTATTGGCACCTTTATGGACTACAGGGTGTTTCCATGTCAGTCATTTCATGGGCTCCTCATTTTTGCACCTTGAGTGGGATTTTGTTAATCTCATGTAACAGGTTTAAATCCAAATTGCCCAGGAAAGGACTTTATCAATAGTGATGCACCAGTGAGTGGCAGAGAGAGAGACTTAAAGCCCAGTCCCTCTGATGCGAGTTCAATGCTTCCTTGCACCCTCCACATCACTTTACAATCAGCAACTTGTCCATTCACTTGATTAAGTCACATTCTGTGAGTGCAACACCCTGTGCTGCTGGAGTGGTAGGTAGATGTAGGCGCAAATCCAGTGTGGGGTTTGTCCTCAAATAATTAGTTTCTAGAGCCAGACACAGTGGAATGCACCTATAATCTCAGCTACTTAATTGCTTGAGCCCAGGACTTTGGGATAGTCTGGGCAACATATCAAGACCCCATCTAAAAAAAAAAAAAAAACAGAGAGAGAGAGAGAAGAGAGTGAACTAATAGTTTGAATTCTTCCTATGGGTCAGGCACCATCCAAAAGCTTTGTAAGGATTAACTCACATAATCCTCCCAACACCCTAGGATGCAGATTCTTTCATTATCCCCATTTTACATGAGGAGGTTAATGGCTTGTTCTAGTTACATAGGTTGAATCCAGGCTCACGCACCAGAGCTTGCAATGAAGTCAGGGAACACAACAGGAAAAGAATGCTGGGAATGGGTTTTGAGGCTGCCCAGGGGGGTGTGGGTTATCCTGGCTAAGGGAAAAGCTTGTACAAAGACATTTAGTTGGGGCTTACCCAAAGCCCCCATGAGTCCTGTTGCACAGAGAGATGTGCCAGGAGATCCCAGAGGACCTAAGGTGCAGAACTGGTGTTCCTGGCAGCAGAAGAGCCATGCTTAGTTCCAGCCAGAGCACGTCAGTGGGCCTTGCTGCTGGTGAGCACATGGTTGGAGGAGGTGGGCCCAGCTTAGCAGGCTTCACACTGTGGATCACACTGAGTGGGCCCCAGATGTGTGCTGCAGCTCTCCAGGGACTGAGGAACGCCCATGCCCAGACTACAGTCGGCAGTAGAAGTTTGGATGAAGTCAGAAGACCTGGATTTCGTTATATGGCTTTTCCCAGCTAGATGAACTTGAACTAGTTATTTAACATTTCAGAGCCTGGTTTCTCATTTGTAAAATACGGATTCAAGGCCCTGTTGCCCCCACTGGTCTGTTGAGAAAGGTGCTCTGTAGCTATGAAAACTTTTTATAAATTTCTTATCCAGCTACATGTGAAAGAGAGAGAGGTGAGGGTGGGTGGGGTGTAGGGGCAGAGAAGGAAGGGGACACAGTCTCTATGGTGCATTCATCAGGGAAACAAAAATGAAGCACAGAAATTATGCTACAGAGAAATGAATTTGGTCCCTCATGGGTTTTTTTTCTTTTTTCTTCTTAATTTTGTTTTTGGAATTGGGATTTGAAACCAGGGCTGCCCTACCACTGAGCTACATCCCCAACCCTTTTGATTTTGAGACAGGGTCTCCCTAAGTTTTTTTTTTTTTTTTTAATTTGTTTTAATTAGTTATACATGACAGTAGAATGCACATAAATAGATGGGATATAATTTTTCATTTTTCTGAGTGTACATATTGTAGAATCACATTGGTCACTCCCTAAGTTTTTGAGGATGGCCTTAAACTTGAGATCCTTTGGTCTCCGCCTCCTGGGTTGCTGGGTTTACAGGTGTGTTCCATTATAGTAGGCCCCTATTAGCTACTCTTGGCAAGGATATTCCCAGCTCTGTCACTTCCTGACTTGGTGACCTTAGCACTTTGGAGCTAGAGTTTCCCTACCTATAAAACAAGGATAATAAAACCCTCCATATAAAATTGTAAAGACCAAAGAACATTTAATTGCAGGTGTTCTGGAAGCTTATAATTTTCGGTCAGATTTTCTGGAGATGGTGGGCCTTGAAGGACACAAATGAGAAGAGATGCCTG